CACTACAGCAATACCCGTATTACACTGACGATATCCACTACAGCAACACCCGTATAACACTGACGATATCCACCACAGCAATACCCGTCTTACACTGACGATAGCCACTACAGCAATACCCGTATAACACTGACGATATCCACTACAGCAATACCCGTATAACACTGACGATAGCCACTACAGCAATACCCGTATTACACTGACGATAGCCACTACAGCAATACCCGTATAACACTGACGATAGCCACTACAGCAATACCCGTATAACATTGACGATAGCCACTACAGCAATACCCGTATAACACTGACGATAGCCACTACAGCAATACCCGTCTTACATTGACGATAGCCACTACAGCAATACCCGTATTACACTGACGATAGTCACTACAGCAATACCCGTATAACACTGACGATAGCCACTACAGCAATACCCGTATTACACTGACGATAGCCACTACAGCAATACCTGTATTACACGGGTGTTACCCTGACGATAGCGAGAGCAGCAAACCCAGTGTTACCTTGACGATAGCGAGAGCAGCAAACCCATAGTTACCTTGACGATAGCGACTGCAGCAAACCCAGTGTTACCTTGACGATAGCGACTGCAGCAAACCCAGTGTTACCTTGACGATAGCGACTGCAGCAAACCCAGTGTTACCTTGACGATAGCGAGTGCAGCAAACCCAGTGTTACCATGACGATAGCGAGTGCAGCAAACCCAGTGTTACCTTGACGATAGCGACTGCAGCAAACCCAGTGTTACCTTGACGATAGCGACTGCAGCAAACCCAGTGTTACCTTGACGATAGCGACTGCAGCAAACCCAGTGTTACCTTGACGATAGCGAGTGCAGCAAACCCAGTGTTACCTTGACGATAGCGAGTGCAGCAAACCCAGTGTTACCTTGACGATAGCGACTGCAGCAAACCCAGTGTTACCTTGACGATAGCGACTGCAGCAAACCCATAGTTACCTTGACGATAGCGACTGCGCGAGCAAACCCAGTGTTACCTTGACGATAGCGACTGCAGCAAACCCATAGTTACCTTGACGATAGCGACTGCAGCAAACCCAGTGTTACCTTGACGATAGCGACTGCAGCAAACCCAGTGTTACCTTGACGATAGCGACTGCAGCAAACCCAGTGTTACCTTGACGATAGCGACTGCAGCAAACCCAGTGTTACCTTGACGATAGCGACTGCAGCAAACCCAGTGTTACCTTGACGATAGCGACTGCAGCAAACCCAGTGTTACCTTGACGATAGCGATGCAGCAAACCCAGTGTTACCTTGACGATAGCGAGTGCAGCAAACCCAGTGTTACCTTGACGATAGCGAGTGCAGCAAACCCAGTGTTACCTTGACGATAGCGACTGCAGCAAACCCAGTGTTACCTTGACGATAGCGAGTGCAGCAAACCCAGTGTTACCTTGACGATAGCGACTGCAGCAAACCCAGTGTTACCTTGACGATAGCGAGTGCAGCAAACCCAGTGTTACCTTTGACGATAGCGCGAGTGCAGCAAACCCAGTGTTACCTTGACGATAGCGAGTGCAGCAAACCCAGTGTTACCTTGACGATAGCGAGTGCAGCAAAAAACCCAGTGTTACCTTTGACGATAGCGAGTGCAGCAAACCCAGTGTTACCTTGACGATAGCGAGTGCAGCAAACCCAGTGTTACCTTGACGATAGCGAGAGAGCAGCAAACCCAGTGTTACCTTGACGATAGCGAGAGCAGCAAACCCAGTGTTACCTTGACGATAGCGAGAGCAGCAAACCCAGTGTTACCTTGACGATAGCGAGTGCAGCAAACCCAGTGTTACCTTGACGATAGCGAGTGCAGCAAACCCAGTGTTACCTTGACGATAGCGAGCAGCAAACCCAGTGTTACCTTGACGATAGCGAGTGCAGCAAACCCAGTGTTACCTTGACGATAGCGAGTGCAGCAAACCCAGTGTTACCTTGACGATAGCGAGTGCAGCAAACCCAGTGTTACCTTTGACGATAGCGAGAGACGAGCAAAACCCAGTGTTACCTTGACGATAGCGAGCAGCAAACCCAGTGTTACCTTGACGATAGCGAGAGCAGCAAACCCAGTGTTACCTTGACGATAGCGAGAGCAGCAAACCCAGTGTTACCTTGACGATAGCGAGAGCAGCAAACCCAGTGTTACCTTGACGATAGCGAGTGCAGCAAACCAATTGTTACCTTGACGATAGCGAGTGCAGCTAACCCAGTGTTACCTTGACGATAGCGAGAGCAGCAAACCCAGTGTTACCTTGACGATAGCGAGTGCAGCTAACCCAGTGTTACCTTGACGATAGCGACTGCAGCAAACCCAGTGTTACCTTGACGATAGCGAGCAGCAAACCCAGTGTTACCTTTGATGATAGCGAGTGCAGCAAACCCAGTGTTACCTTGACGATACCGATGGAACAAAACCCAGTGTTACCTTGACGATAGCGAGTGCAGGAAACCCAGTGTTACCTTGACGATAGCGACTGCAGCAAACCCAGTGTTACCTTGACGATAGCGAGTGCAGCAAACCCAGTGTTACCATGACGATAGCGAGTGCAGCAAACCCAGTGTTACCTTGACGATAGCGAGTGCAGCAAACCCAGTGTTACCTTGACGATAGCGGCTGCAGCAAAACCCAGTGTTACCTTGACGATAGCGAGTGAAGCAAACCTAGTGTTACCTTGACGATAGCGAGTGCAGCAAACCCAGTGTTACCTTGACGATAGCGACTGCAGCAAACCCAGTGTTACCTTTGACGATAGCGAGTGCAGCAAACCCAGTGTTACCTTGACGATAGCGAGTGCAGCAAAGCCAGTGTTACCTTGACGATAGCGACCGCAGCAAACCCAGTGTTACCTTTGACGATAGCGACTGCAGCAAACCCAGTGTTACCTTGACGATAGCGAGAGCAGCAAACCCAGTGTTACCTTGACGATAGCGAGTACAGCAAACCCAGTGTTACCTTGACGATAGCGAGTGCAGCAAACCCTGTGTTACGATAGCGAGTGATAAAGCGAGTGTTAGCAATACCCAGTGTTACCTTGACGATAGCGAGTGCAGCAAACCCAGTGTTACCTTGACGATAGCGAGTGCAGCAAAGCCAGTGTTACCTTGACGATAGCGAGAGCAGCAAACCCAGTGTTACCTTGACGATAGCGAGTGCAGCAAACCCAGTGTTACCTTGACGATAGCGAGAGCAGCAAACCCAGTGTTACCTTGACGATAGCGAGTGCAGCAAACCCAGTGTTACCTTGACGATAGCGAGTGCAGCAAACCCAGTGTTACCTTGACGATAGCGAGAGCAGCAAACCCAGTGTTACCTTGACGATAGCGAGTGCAGCAAACCCAGTGTTACCTTGACGATAGCGAGTGCAGCTAACCCAGTGTTACCTTGACGATAGCGAGTGCAGCAAACCCAGTGTTACCTTGACGATAGCGAGTGCAGCTAACCCAGTGTTACCTTGACGATAGCGAACTGCAGCAAACCCAGTGTTACCTTTGACGATAGCGACTGCAGCAAACCCAGTGTTACCTTGACGATAGCGAGACGATGCAGCAAAACCCAGTGTTACCTTGACGATAGCGAGGCAGCAAACCCAGTGTTACCTTGACGATAGCGTGAGCAGCAAACCCAGTGTTACCTTGACGATAGCGAGTGCAGCAAACCCAGTGTTACCTTGACGATAGCGACTGCAGCAAACCCAGTGTTACCTTGACGATAGCGAGAGCAGCAAACCCAGTATTACCTTGACGATAGCGAGTGCAGCAAACCCAGTGTTACCTTGACGATAGCGAGTGCAGCTAACCCAGTGTTACCTTGACGATAGCGACTGCAGCAAACCCAGTGTTACCTTGACGATAGCGAGTGAAGCAAAGGTAGTACTACATTAACAATAGCCACTGTAGGTATGAATGGAGGTATTAACCTTCTTTTTGCGTCCTTTTTCCGAGTGAGTGAATGACTTTGGGTTCAACGCCCCTTTGAAGTATGTTCCATTTATTTAGTTTAGTTTAGTTTTACGCTGCACTCAGCAATATTCCAGCTATATGGCGGTGGTCTGTAAATAATCGAGTCTGGACCAGACAATCCAGTGATCAACAGCATGAGCATCGATCTGCGCAATGGGGAACCGATGACATGTGTCAACCAAGTCAGCGTGCCTGACCACCCGATCCCGTTAGTCGCCTCTTACGACAAGCATGGGTTACATAAGGCTCATTCTAACCCGGACCTTCACGGGTCCCTTTATTCGATGTTACCTGGTTCCTCGTCCACCTAACGCTATACTATTGTGGATTAACCGTTCGGGTGGATGGCAAGCCGTTTTCACATTTATTTAGAAATGAAGGATATCGGTATTCTATTTAGAGATATCAATAATATTTAAAAGATATCGGTAAATAATTGATGATATCTTTAATTAATTTCTGATATCCATTTTTCGCGATATCATGAATTTTATTGCAAATATCTATAATCTTCTCTATTGCAGATATCTTCAATTCAATTCAAGATATCTTCAATCCAATTCAAGATATCTTTAAAACAATTTAAGATATCAGAATTTCTTACTAAATGTGTAAACAACTTGCCATACGGGCATCTTGCCTAAAGTACTTTAGGTAGGACTCCCTACATGTGTACTCTTAGACTAAGGCTTAGTCTCTGAATATATATAATTTTGATAGTAACAAACAAGCCCATTTATATTGAAAAGGAGCCCCAAGGAGACCAGAGATTCCTGAACCTGAGGAAATCTAGACTTGCTTTATTTAGGGCTTTAGCACTGCAGAGAGGGCTTGGCAGTAGGGGAAATAATGTGGTTCAGGGACTGTGAGACAGACTAGTGTACTCTCTGCAGAGACTGGCGTAACCCGCCCTAATAATGCTTAACTATTGCCAGCAACCACTTTCCGTCCCGGATGCTATTCCTCCTTTGTCCATGCTATGTAAAAACAACTTCGAATCTGTTTTATAGAGATTACACATTTATTTTGTTCAGTGGTATTGAATACATATCTAATGTTGGTGATAAACAGCGTGTTGACCTTTATCATATGCATTCGCAACTGACCATTTTAGTTGGTGCTGATGAAACCCAGATCGGAATTCTGGCTCTGCTCTGAAAAGTCCTTGTGCTAATACTGACTGAGTTTTGGTTTTACGCCGCTTTTAGCAATATTCCAGCAACATCACGGCTTGGGACACCAGAAATGGGCTTCACACATTTTACCCATGTGGGGATTCGAACCCGGTTCTTCAGCGTGACGAGCCAACGCTTTAACCACTAGGCTACCCCACCGCCCCCCCTTGTGCTAATAAGAAATAAGAACTTTCACCTTGTGTGACCTCCTATGGAGATTTAGTCAGATCTACCCTCAGAGAGCTATTGTAACGGATTGAAAGATATCATTTTAACGAGATTGCTTTCGACTTAAAAAAATAAACAGAAGTATTTACCCGTATTATTTCACCCACTGAACACTGTGCAATCGTAGCTTTACCTCCATAAATGAAATATGCTAAAAATAGAGAATTAATATCAATGGCTGGTTGAGTATCATCTATATAGAAACAGATTAATAAATAATATCAATTCATGTCCTTTGCGATACGATCGACAAATAGGAATCGGCGCCTCGGTCCGAACTCCGCGGCACATTAAGCCAGTGCAAGGAGATTTCTGCATAGGCCATCATTCGGGCAGCAGCTCGGGCGTAGACACAGAGTTTCTTTGACGACCGGTGTGTTCTGAATGTCACATTCGTCTAGAGAATGACACAAGTCTGACCTTGACCTTCTTTGATGGTTTTGGGAGGCAGGCCCTGCTTGGCTTGGTTGACAGCCTCCAAAATCTGACAACAGTAAGGACAATGAAAACAGACGGACAAGCTACAATAAGGGTCCTCTTTGAGGATGAATAAATTTGAGGATGAATAATTCAGATAATACGTAAAACCTCTGCCAAACTTTATGATTTGTGTTTGTTGCGATTGTTCTATAGCCGCACTCAGCAATACTCCAGCTATATGGCGGCGGTCTGTAAATAATCGGGCCTGGAGCAGACAATCCAGTGATCAACAGCATGAGCTTCGATCTACGCAATTGGGTTTCGATGACATGTGGGGCGGTGGTGTAGCCTAGTGGTTAAAGCGTTGGCTCGTCACGCCGAAGACCCGGGTTCGAATCCCCACATGGGTACAATGTGTGAAGCCCATTTCTGGTGTCCCCCGCCGTGATGTTGCTGGAATATTGCTAAAAGCGGCGTAAAACCATACTCAGTCAGTCAGTCGATGACATGTGTCAACAAGTCAGCGAGCCTGACCACCCGATCCCGTTAGTCGCCTCTTACGACAAGCATGGGTTACTGAAGACCAATTCTAACCTCGATCTTCAATGAGAACAAGGAGATACCAACACCAGTGAAAATGAGGTCTTGCTCATTTCAACGTTTGCACATCTGGGAGCAAATGAAACTGTAAAGCTATGAGCTTTTCAGGAAACAGTATTTTCAATATTTGAACACCGGGAAGTCTAGTATCTGAGCTGATTTCTTAGAGTGGGCACAGAGAATCGGGACAAACGTGTAAAATCACCCTGGGTCAGCACCTGGCTCATACTGAGTTCAACATATCGATCTCATAACCTGATTTACAAACACAGATGTATTTGATTATGTAAGAAATAAACAACCTTTCGATAAGGATGCTGGCGGCCTGCCACGTGAACATAAATGGTCCTTAGTTTAATTCCTTGAATATATAGACATCTATTCAAAGTATACGAAGGTGTTAAAACCCAATGTTTCGGAGGAATCAAAGTGAAGGTCAAGAACACTCGTGAACATGACCTGTTTGTTAAATGTTTTCGTAAAGTTTGATTCAGATTGTTTTACAAAAACGTCTGAGATGAAGAGGTCAAGAAAGAGGCCAGTTTGTTTTCCATGTCAGCGGGCACCTTTTACAGTAGTAACATCCAGGTTCCTCGTCACGTGGTCTTTGGTTTTATATCGGGTAACAATACTGACAGTTACAACCCTACGATTCATGTCTATATTTAATAGTTGAGTATCGGGTGACAATACTGGCAGTTACAACCCTACGATTCATGTCTATATTTAATAGTTGAGTATCGGGTGACAATACTGACAGTTACAACCCTACGATTCATGTCTATATTAATAGTTGAGTATCGGGTGACAATACTGAAAGTTGCAACCCTACGATTCATGTCTATATTTAATAGTTGAGTATCGGGTGACAATACTGACAGTTACAACCCTACGATTCATGTCTATATTTAATAGTTGAGTATCGGGTGACAATATGGACAACTGATGTATGAATATTGATTAGGTTTCAATATTTCACATCGCCACGACGACGTAACACCAATACTTACGTCCTCGTTAAAAGGGAAGGACCCCACCTTCAGCTTGGAGAAGACCAATTTGCCATTCACGGTCACTTCAAAGGAACCTGAAACAATTCACAGATCCGAGGGTCTGTTTAACATGAATTGTGAAACAAATGCATATGTCTTTCGGAATTATTTTCAGTAGCATTTTTAAAACCCAGGTTTTGCTTCCAAGCGATGATCATGGTCCACATGGAGGCGAGTTATTTGTTATTTGTTTGGCGGTTCGTTTATGTCGGTTCTGTACCACCGACCTGTAAATATACAACACTCCTGCGGCCCACCCTGACGCCTACAAGACGTCTACGGCCACTCACCCCTACGGCCCACCCTGATGCCTACAAGACGTCTACAGCTACTTACCCCTGCGGCCCACCTTGCCACTAACGTCGACCTCGGTCTTGGAAGCGAGGTAGCCCTTCAGCTTGCCGTACCGAGGGGCGTAGCCTCATCCGCCGCTGGAACACATTGATCACACACTTTTTTCTGATACACGTTGACAAACGTCACACTTTATCTCATACACGTTGACAAACGTCACACACTTTTATCTGATACACATTGACAAGCACCATAAAATAATATGTGATATCTCATACACGTTGACAAACGTCACACACTTTTATCTGATACACATTGACAAGCACCATAAAATGAAATGTGATACTTAATGATCACAAAGTGTATCAGAAAAAAAACCTGGACTTGAAACTCTGTTCATCAGAGTTGACGGGCGATGACCCTTTGGGACCTCAACCAAGAGCCTTGAGACGGTTGACAAACGTCTGTTGGGGACCTAGGGTTGCTTCAAACGAGCCCATTTCTGGTGTTCCCCGCTGTGATATTGCTGGAATATTGCTAACAGCGGCGTTAAACCATGCTCACTCACTCACTCAAACGAGTGCTCATGGCGAAGGGTTCACGTCTCACGTAACGGGCCAATTGCGATCTTCCACTGGAGTTGTCTCCCGGGGTGGCCCTGGCCTTGGTTGATCCGTGACTGTTTCCGGGTAAGTCTACTGATGACAGTAGCAGTAACCAAGCTGACTCCCAATGGCCTTGAATGACATGCCAGCTGATCCTCACAGGGCTCCGATGACCGTGTCATCTGATGTGTGGCTTGTAGTATACAGTCAGGCCGCGGTAATCCGGTCCTCGTTAATCCGAATCCACCGACTTCCGAACGCTACTCACTGGGCACCAAATCATCTCCCTATATATTGTATATAATTGACACCTCGTTAGTCCGATGATTCAGTTTCCGCCTCCAAAAAGCTGGTCAGTCGGAACGGATTGGACTAATTAAGTTGTAAACAGCTGCGTTAATCCGAACGATTGAAGTTGACCGCGCTGGTGACTGGTCCACCCAAAGTGACACGTTGTTTGTTTAGCGACTTAGCGACTCATCCCTTTGATCCCTTTATCATAAGTGATAGCGAAATTTCGACGACCACGCTGTTTTGGGAAAGACTTCAATCCAGAAATAAACTAATGAATAAAATCAACAAAATATATACATGAAGCATTTTTGTCACAGGTCATAACCTAGCACGATACATCCAATAAGTTCCATGATTTACGTATAGGTAGCGATTTCTTGCTTAATATGTTCAAAATAGCATTATTTTACCCAAAACTTTCGTCTAAATCTAAAAGTTTTCGTTTACGAGGACGGTGTCCATTGCCGTGATATGATTATGATTATATTACAATCTTGGCAATTCGCCTAAGTTCACCGACCATAGAACATTTTACCTTCGATACGATGACATGTGTCAACCAAGTCAGCGAGCCTGACAAACCGTTCCCATTAGTCGCCTCTTACAAGCATGGGTTACTAAAGACCAATTCTAACCCGGATCTTCACGGGGAGACAAGCATGGGTTGCTGAAGACCAATTCTAACCCGGATCTTCACGGGGAGACAAGCATGGGTTGCTGAAGACCAATTCTAACCCGGATCTTCACGGGGAGACAAGCATGGGTTACTGAAGACCAATTCTAACCCGGATCTTCACGGGGAGACAAGCATGGGTTGCTGAAGACCAATTCTAACCCGGATCCTCACGGGGAGACAAGCATGGGTTGCTGAAGACCAATTCTAACCCGGATCCTCACGGGGAGACAAGCATGGGTTGCTGGAGACCAATTCTAACCCGGATCTTCACGGGGAGACAAGCATGGGTTGAGACAAGCCCCGATCCTCACGGGGAGACAAGCATACTGCTGGAGACCAATTCTAACCCGGATCTTCACGGGGAGACAAGCATCCTCACGGGAGACAAGCATGGGTTGCTGAAGACCAATTCTAACCCGGATCTTCACGGGGAGACAAGCATGGGTTGCTGAAGACCAATTCTAACCCGGATCTTCACGGGGAGACAAGCATGGGTTGCTGAAGACCAATTCTAACCCGGATCTTCACGGGGAGACAAGCATGGGTTGCTGAAGACCAATTCTAACCCGGATCTTCACGGGGAGACAAGCAGACAAGACATGGGTTGCTGAAGACCAATTCTGAAGACCAATTAACCCGGACCGGATCCAAGCATGGGTTGACGAAGACCAATTCTAACCCGGATCTTCACGGGGAGACAAGCATGGGTTGCTGAAGACCAATTCTAACCCGGATCTTCACGGGGAGACAAGCATGGGTTGCTGAAGACCAATTCTAACCCGGATCTTCACGGGGAGACAAGCATGGGTTGCTGAAGACCAATTCTAACCCGGATCTTCACGGGGAGACAAGCATGGGTTGCTGAAGACCAAAACCCGGATCTTCACGGGGAGAACTTCACGGGGAGACAAGGATGTGTTGCTGAAGACCAATTCTAACCCGGATCCTCACGGGGAGACAAGCATGGGTTGCTGAAGACCAATTCTAACCCGGATCCTCACGGGGCTCCGATGATCGTGTCATCTGATGTGTGGCTTGTAGTATATATTACAATCTTGGCAATTCGCCTCAGTTCACCAGAACATGTTACCTTCAAACAAATACTAAGATATCAATGTTGGATCATTTTGCACCTAACCGTGTAATTATACAGAGCGAGTTCCTACAGGACTGGTACATGCGATTCAAATTAGGGCTTCAACGAGTCCATTTTCTTGGACTCGAGTACTCGAGGGGTCAGACTCGACTCGGACCCGAGTACTTGAAATTCATACCTTTCAAGCAAACAATAGCGTAATAGCTGGCACGACATTACACAATGTGTATGTCAGCTTTATTGTGTATATATGTGAGTGAGTGAGTTTAGTTTTACACCGCTTTTGGCAATATTCCAGCAATATCACGGTGGGGTACACCTGAAATGGGCTTCACACATTTTACCCATGTGGGGAATCGAACCCGGGCCTTCTAGCTTTGTCGAACGTTAGCGCGCGCAAAGGGAGCCGGGGACCAGCTTACATAGTACCTCTGCCACAGGCCAGAAAAATGTGACGATTCGTCACATCTTGCACCGTCCATTCAATATAATGTACACAAATTTCTTTTACTCTTTTATTTTTGACGAGTCTACACATCTAACTAAACATCTTTAATACAATGAATTAGTTTCACTGAGAAAATATCCATAAACATGTAACACTATTTCGATTTGCGTAGCGATCCTTTGTTTACATAGGTTGTACGGCACCACGTACGTTCTGTCATCGAAGCCGACGGAGAGCAAACGATGCAGCCAGTTTGATATCTAAATATGTACTGTCATAGACCTAACTGTCGCAGTTGTGGAAGAATATATATGTAACTATGTAAAACATTATGAAGAGAGCGCCGAAAAGCTTTCGTGAGTCCAGTCTCTTCTTCTTATGGATATGCGCGTTTGATTACAAACAAGAGAAAAGTCCGGTCACGTGATATGCAAATTAGCCTGTGGCAGTGATGTTATGTTTTAAAAGTCATCGCTGTGCCGGAGTGTGCAGAAAATGAACCCGACTCGTGCGCGAGTACACCAACTGAATGCATCCTGGTTCCCGGGCCTCTCATTAGTTTATATAGAGCTAATGAGAGGCCCGGGAACCAGGATGCAACTGAATGTCGACCCATAAAGTATCTGACCCAAGATGATTCAGCAGACCCTATCTTTTGTTGCTGCAGGTGTACGCATATGACAGATTCTTTCACAACCGACATAGCACACACCATAGCCTGTAGCTACCGTAACTGGGCCTGTCTTTGTTCTGCGACTGCGCGTGACTCGACGACCCAATATGACAGAGTAACAGCACAGTGACTCAGCGAGTTTACATGCACCAGGAAGCCCCTCAACATCAATACAAACTGACCTACACTTGTTGTGATCCAGATATTGGAGAGTGCCACAGAATTAGCCTGTCACATCCACGAAGAACACATGAAGATATGAGTCGACTGACGCAACAAACCCTAATGTACATTTGTGGCGATGTGAAAATGGCGTGTAGTATTGAACGATCGATGTATAATCGATATCAGTTCTCAGTCTGAAAACATACTATGAATTACAAAGGAGTGTACAGATATCATTTCTTTATTCGTGTTACTACACTGTTTGGTTAAATTATCTCTCTCCTTCATAGCTCAAACCATCTCTAAATCTGGATCCATTCAAAGACTTTTAAATGAGATTGGAATAACATGTTCCAACACACACCTTGCAAGTGAACTTTATGTACTTGAATTGTATAACACTAAATTTGGAAATTTGAACTACAACTTGACAAAGAACGAAAAATGAACAAATTTTAAAAAGAATTAAAACATAACCATCATAGTTGGTACAAAGGCAAACTCAAATAGAACACGTTATCATTCCAATACACTGGCGACCAAAACATACGCCCCGCTTTAATTATCTAACTGTGTCCATATGCTCTGTATGAGTTGCACGCGGAAATCAGTGGATTAAAAGATCTTTAATAACTTACCAATATTCAATGTCCACCACAACACTGGCCATGACTAGACTCTTAAGGGTTGACTGTAATATATCGTGTTCTGACAGGACGTCCTGTACACCAACTGCAGTATCTCAGGCGTACAGTATGTTTTGAATAAACGCGAACGGTCACGTGGTATATCCGGGTGTCACGTGCACGGGTGTTTTGTGTTCGGTCCTTGATACAAATGCTTGAATCAATGTGTCAACTGCGCTGTTGTATTGTGTTCGGCGGGTGTTATCTCCTAATGGACAGATTGACACTGAACTAGATGGTTAATTAGGGTAACACCTACAGGTATAATGAACAGTCCACTGTCTTAAACCCGTAACATCCTCCTCTAAAGCTGTTATCTACGAATGCATGAAATCTCATTATGATATCTCTTTACTGGAACGTAAATTAGGAACAAAGCACTGTAATATTTTAATCAAATTTAAAACCGCCAACCAAATTACCTATTGAAACAGGTCGCTGGGAAAATATCCCCTCAAATAAACGATTCTGTCCGTCATGTCCCTCCCAACTCGGAGATGAGTTTCATTATTTATTTCAATGTAATAAATTTACTGCTTCCAGAAATATGTATTTAAAGAATTATTATGTAAACAACCCTAACTATTATAAAATGTCTGCCCTATTTGAAACTCATAATATGAAGCAATTAAGAAATCTATGTAAATTTATTTCCATTATAATGTCTGTCAACATGACATGATTAGTTTACCTGAACATAATTGCTGGATTTGTTTCAAGTCATAACCTAAAAGTGATATATTTTTGAAAAATACCCCCCATGATGCTTTGCCTGTATTTGTAAACTTATGGTAATAAAAAGGATGATTGATTGAGTGAGTGAGTAGAGTAGGGTGAGCCTGAAACAGGTTCGTTACTGAGAAGTTTGATTGTGTGTAAATGGAATTTTGTTGTGATTAAATGATAATCTGTCTTCTCTTCTGAAAATTGTTTTTACTATTAATTACTATCGAATATAAAAACAGGTTTGTCACCGAGAGGTTTGATTGTGTTTATTGATTGAAACATATTTTATTTATTCAAGAAAAGGATTAGGCACAAGTTATCCAACTTAAAAAAGTTTTGACATGTAAGATAAGATTAATACCAAACAGTGTTCCGTTTTTAACAATATTTTGTAAAGATTTTAACAGTTTATGTCTTTGAATAGTATACAATGGGCATTCAAGGAAGTAATGACGGGCAGTGGTGTAGCCTAGTGGTTAAAGCGTTGGCTCGTCACGCCAAAGAGCCGGGTTCGATTCCCCATATGGGTACAATGTGTGAAGCCGAGTTCTGGTGTTTCCCGCCGCGATATTGCTGGAATATTGCTAAAAGCGGTGTAAAACCATACTCACTCACTCAAGGAAGTAATGAAAAACATTCTCACATCCATGGCCACACTGACATGATGAGTCATGTTTTACACTTATTCTAAATATATCATAATTATGTGTACTCGTCGTATATCTTAGTCTTTTGTGCAAAACATCTAACTTCTTCATTTCATAGGAATGACATATAGGTGTACATATTTCTTTCTAATGGAACATGATTCCGAATTTTAACTGCTGATGGAATAAAGTTGATGTTCAGCACGTCAGTCTTGTACATAGTTGGGAAAAATTATCGGAATTTCTTAACTCGTAACTTGCCTAGCTGCCTACTACAGTTGGGAGTAAATCCCGAAGAAAAACTGGTGCACGACCTTTTTGAATTTCATCACTCCTTCTCTCAGAAAGTAAATCCCATTCCGTTTCATACTGCAACGACCTAGAAGATGCACATCTTGGAAGACCAGTTAATACATGCGAGCTGCTTCAAGCTGGGAGCTCTTATCTATTGGCTTGTTCAATCAAACATCCATCCCATACTTCACACTCGTACTCAAAATGTGGCCTTATAAATACAGTGTATATTTTACTAATGTTGTTATATTTAGTAGGAACTTTATTTTCCGAAATTCTCCAATCATTTTAGATGTCTATCTGACAATGTTTTCAATATGGTGATGCCATCTCCCGTTAGACGAGAAGGTTAAACCGAAATGTTTATGAAAATCAACTGTTTATATTGCAGCAATCAAAATTCAAATTAATGTCTTTTCGCCCATCTTTCAGAGTACATAATATAGCTTCATTTTCATTTGGACTACTCCATTATAATGTGCAGGTAACAGGTAGTAGCTAATCTGTTCATTGAACTGTAAATGTTTTAAGGTGTCTGCGAACTGCCTGTCTGCGTAATGGGACGATACCCTCCAGATATATAGAATATCTTGTATATATCTGATTTAATTTATTGTTGATAAAGTAGCTTTAAGTGTGTGGGATCCGCTCTAACCTGGGAGACAGACACCGTAGGTGTTCATACCTATCATTATTCAACCTTCATCAGTCAATAGATCGGACGGGTTAGGACAAGCGTGTCATTGTTTATGTGTCAGGTAGCCGTTTCCTGCAAAGGGACAGCTGTTTAATTTGCATTATTATACGATATTTATATAGCGGACGTATCCAGGCAACTAGTGCTTGCTCAAGGCGCTGGTATTTTTTCCCTCGATCATTGGATGTCAATCTCAACGGCACATCGTGTTATCAATCTCAACTCCCTGGGGAGTATGCAACTCTTGCAGCCACTAGACGCACAGAGGTATTGTGGCTTTCTCATCCTAACGAGGTACCCATTCACAGCTGGACTGGGACATATAGTCACAGTACTTTGTCCAAGTTCACTGCACGATGCTATAGCCGCAACTAAAAGCTCGCACGTCTTCATGTGGCCACCATCTGGTCATATACCAACGGATTCGTGGGTTCTTTAAGTGCACAGGGTTGTGTACTGTACACTAGGGGTTGTGACAACACTGAAAGAATCTGCACACAAAGTTGACTCCAAGGATTTTACACCCGGTCACAGGTAGGCTCGATCCCGACACCTCAACCTCGCTGGAACACTGGCCTGGCGCCTTAGCCAGCTCGCCCACCGCGCCCCGCATTCCTTGTGTATACCGAAACCTGAGGAAACTAAACTCTTGTTAATTTTAAGTCGATATATTAGTGAGTGAATGAGTTTAGTTTTACGCCGCACTCAGCAATATTCCATAAATCATCGAGTCTGGACCAGACAATCCAGTGCATGAGCAACGATCTATGCAGTTTGGATACCATGAGTGTCAACCAAGTCAGTGAGCCCGTTAGTCGCCTTTTACAAGCATGGCTTACTGAAGTCCAAGGGACGGTGGGTTAGCCTAGTGGTTACAGCGTTCGCTCGTCACGCCGAGGACTCGTGTTCGATTCCCCCATAGGGTTAAAATGTGTGTAGCCAATTTCTGATGTCCCTCCGCCGTGATATTGCTGAAATATTGCTAAAACCGAAACCAAATCCCCATCCACCCACCTACACACCCAAAACACCACAAGAGGCGACTAACGGGATCGGGTGGTCAGGCTCCCTGACTTGGTTGACATAGGTTGCCTCTTACGACAAGCATGGGTTACAGAAGACCAATTCAAGCCCGGATCTTCACGGGTAAAATACGCTTTGAACTTCTTATACAACCCATTTTTTCATCTATATGTTGACTTTACCAGTCACATGGTCCTTGGTAAACATTTCATGGTCCTCTTTTGTCCCGGTTACCGAGCCTACATGTAACTTATATGTAAATATACACCCATATGAATATTGTCCCGATTTCTGCTCTCATACAATGCACAAGTCAGCTACAAGGTCACCGGGCAAGAATCAGGTGAGGTGAAAGTGGGTTTTAACGTCGTGCTTCAGATTATTTAGCTCATATGACGACGTGCATGCTTTTGTATGTGTATGTGCGGCTGCTTGTACTAGCCCAGACTTAAGCTGGTTTTATAGTGCTAGCCCACTGAGATACCATGCCGCAGTGAAGCATGAATACCCAGCTCAGACACATTATACTGACTCTGAGCCGACCAGTCCTTGTTGTACCCATTAATGCCGTGCGCCAGGCAGGGACCAACAAGTACCATATTTTAACATCTTTTTGTATGACGCGGTCGGGGATGGAACCCGCGACCTTCCGCTCTCCGGGCGGACGCTCTAACCACTACACCACGGAGGCGGTGGCACCAGTCAGCTACAAGGTCACCGGGCACCAGTCCACAAGGTCACCGGGCACCAGTCAGCCACAAGGTCGCCGGGCACCAGTCAGCCACAAGGCCACAGTGCGTCACTCAGCTTCAATGTCACAATGTACTAGTATCAAAAACAAAATCAAGAACGGTTTCGTCTGCGTTTTGTAACAGTTATGGGTTCTGTTGTCAAAGGAAAAACAATTCAATGGCAGATTAAGGTCATCACGTGTATTGCTCCTCCAACTCCATCAGCGTCATATTTTGAGTCCACGCGTCAGACCACAGAAACAAACACCGACCCTCCCCGCCGCCACCCACACAGAGACCTGCCATCCCAGGCACCGTGATATTAACGTGTGGGCATATTCGGGGAAAACTGTCTCGGAAATACGTACGACGAGTGTTCAACCTTAAAAAGAAAAAACCCCAGAAAAGGTAAACAAACGACAACCGCAACTGATATTTTATTTCTTTATTGACAGTTTTGCAATTTCGTTTGAAACCATCAGTTCACAAAGCAGATTGACAAAGGCGGTTTACATGATATGAATAACAACAGTAAAGACACGGGGTTGAGGTACAGTCTTGATACAAACATTCCACTTAGTACAAGACAAGACAGGGAATCCTGGAAACAAGAAAACATCTGCAGACAAAGTCATCATTGTCTTAATCAGTCAGGTCAGAACTTCACGTCAAGTCCCAACTGTCAAGACACTAATGGCCATTATCTGTAGGTGGAAGGATCGTCTTTGCCATATAACCTGGGTTCAATGTCACACGAATAAATTTAGATTTTCTCAAGTCTGTTATGTAATGGAAAGATCTTAAGAATGTTCTGATTCCTCCCCTTACGGACACCTTCCTATACCTACCGAAGGAACTTCGCTTAAGTTTTTTTACCGCTAAGAAACTTCGGAAGATATTGACCCAGCCGGTCAATACTTATATATTGTTGATTCATGGTGGATATTTTAAGGTTTTAGAGGACGATGTAACCAA